GCATATTATTGAGACACTCCGGAACCAGGCAAGAGCTTATTATGTACAGTTTACATCCATAGATCCGACTGACTTCAATTTTATCAGTTAATAAGAATTCAGACCACTCTCTGTCACAAAAACTTAAGATGCCAGACCTTAGATGGTCTACCGTAGCCACAACGACTGGCTCGGAGCATGCTTTTGAGACGCCACTCTGGTGTTTCTTGGATCTGTTGAGGCCTTCTTTTCAGTTCCCACACTTCTTCCAGTCCTCTAGACTAGACGCGTGCCAATGATCTATTAACGGACCATTCCTAGGGGACTCAGCACTGTCAGTACCTATTCTTCATGATGATACTTCCCATGCCATGCAGCCTCCCAGACAGGGCTATCAGGAAGCAATTTAGGGCCTTAAAGGAGGTGTTGACAACTTGATTGTCTCGTGGATGGATTGAAGACTCCAAAACAATAACATTGGAATCTGATGCTTACAAGTCTTTGCATTGGAAACACTGTCATTAGGTCCTCAAGTTGAAATAATCATTTGTAGTATTACATTTACATGTAATATTACTCACAGGGGACTGACAGTCACTAGTGTGAATATGTTTTCCTTCAGGTAAAATTATTTCCACTGCATTCCTGGGCACAGAATTTCCCCCACCCAATTAAAAACATAGTCCAAAGTCCAACCACCAATTAAAATACAGAGTGTAGTGAAGTATATTTTGTCCAACTCCTAAAATAATTGATTTGTTTTAGCAGAGCGCAGAAATGCAGCTTATTTTTGCATGCCATTACAGCCACTTTGTGGTTTTCTTTTACTTCAGTTTAATTTTGTTCATACTGGTGATTAGCTCTATATTAACTCTATATTATTATCTCTTAATTAATTAAAGTTAATCAAGATTTTTCTCCTAGTTATAGTATTAATCTTTAAATAAAGTGGATTAGTAATGAAAGCCACAGCTCACATCTGGGAAGTGTGACAGGTGTTTTGATAAACACAATTATGTTAAAAACAAATTGAAATGCAAACATGTGTTTTATGGAAATCACCTGTAACAAGGCTATAAAAGCCAGGTAGGGACTTAAAAAACAATAAAATGTAGGGAATCAACGGACAATGTTCCGGTAAGACAATAGGTGATGGCATTGTTATGTTACACATAAGTGAGTAATCTCTTGAAACAATTCGGAGGGATTGGGTAGGCCTATGTATCTGGTAGATCTGTCAAAATTTGCAAAGTTGTCGGTAGAATTTGTCAGTGCTGTAATGGCAGAAAGTGCAGTGGGAGTAAATTCTGTGTGTGGCTCTTTCGCAATTTGTTTTCAAAATAAGCTTGTTCGCATACAGAGCCTGATGTAAAATAATTTCCTATTGTCCATCTTCAAGGGGATTTGTGTTTGAAGAAACACCATGCTTGTAAGTTGTACAGTGGAACGCAGCTATAACAAAAACATAAGGATCCACAGAAAGTGTTCGTAATGACGATCGTTCGGTATAGCGATTTTGTGCTGCCCGTGCTCCGGTACTAACCTTTCAATACATTGTGCCTTTCAAAACTTCACTCTGCCCGCTCTGGTAGTTACTGAAAGACGACTTTGAACACGCGCTGACTATCAAATTATCATTACACATTTTTTGAGCTCACTACCTACAGCAATGGGTGACTTTCCCCTTCTATTCCTTGGGGAAATAATAGCCACTTGTCGCTCTTCTCTTGACATTTTTTTTTCACCAACAATGTTCCGTACATTTGGAACACAAAAATTGGGAACCAAGGACAATGTTCGGTATTTAGGTGTTCGGTATAGCGATGTTCCTTTGCATTGATGGCTGTTTCCAACTTTCTGAGCTCTCAACGGAGTTGTGAAGTGAGTTGATAAGGAATTTGTTTATTTCACCAGATTTGGTTCCCTGGCTACCTGTGTACCCTCCTGAAAATCCACAAGTGTAGCTAGCCAAATTTTGTATCAGTATCACTATCAGAAACAATACTCAGGGGTTTGGGTATTGTCACCAACCCCTCCCCTCCCATTCACTCCCCTGGCCCAATGGGGCACCTTATCAGGAGGTTTGCGTTTGCCCTCTTGGGACACCATTATGGCCCTATCACACTGGGTGGGTGATAGTGTGGCTGGGCCTGTGTGTCAACTAGACAGGGCACTTTGCTTATCAGGGCCAGTTAATGACAGAGCTATAAAGAGCTCAGGGCTATTAAGAGATTTTTGTTAAGCAAGCTTGATACATTCCTAGAGCCTATACCCAGAGTAAGATGTTTAAAAACAATTGCAGAAATGCTGCTGATGTTGGTTCTTAAATAATGATGCATACATGAAGAACACACAAGAGATTTTTTGGGTAGCTATATCACAAGAAGAACAAGAAATGTTAAAAACCTGCAGATCCTGTTAGGGGAGAACGTGGAATTAAACAAAAGGCAAATTGCATGAGGTTTACCGCTACTTCAAGGTTTGTTTTTCAGAGCACAAGAGTTCAACCTTGAGTTAACCATTCATTTTTTTTGCATGAATTCTTCTCTTGAAATTGTAAAAAAAAGTATTAATTGCCTAGTTACATTGTCTATTGTGAATAATATGCAAGGAATACATTGATTGAAAACAATGTAAAGGCTAATGCTATATGTACCGGTACATAGTTAAAGAGGGACTGGTGTCAACACAATGTGAATGATGTTGCAGCATCCTTTTTCCCCCAAACACTAGCCTTGTCCTAACCACACATGAACATGTCCGAAAATGTCGACTCTAAAGTAGTGGAGACAAATGCACCTGCAGTCATCACAAAAAGAAATCCACAAATTTGGGTGATTTTTGAACTCAGGGTAACCCCAGGTGGGGCCAGCCCTGGCACACCTTGAGATAACCTGTCACTCGCAAGACCAATGTTAACAGCTTACTGTTCAAACCCAACTGTCTTTGCGTGCTGTGGTCAGTTGGGAGGTGGTTTCTTCTCTGAGTCTGAGGCATTAACCCCTAACATTAAACAGGTCCTGGCTGGACCTGTGTCAATTTGAAGACAGGCTTGAGCCTGTAAAGTGATAGCCTGCTAAAAGTTTACAGCCCCTGAATACTGCTTTACTGTGCAAACTCTTTTTGTCCACTTTTTAAAAACACACTGTAGGGTTTATGGTGACCGTTTTGTTAGTGCAAATTGGTGTTGAATTGGCAGTGGTTGGACTAGACTCTTTGAAAGGACTCTTTGAAAGGACTTGTGGTTTGTATTCTCATTGAGGACAACAATAAGCTAAACGCTGCTTTGTGGCTTTTATTGTTAAAAGTTAACTGGGGTGGTTCTCCTACATGTACATCTCTATTTAAGTGTCAAGTTAAGTGCTTGAGCTTCCACATTTATTTTTTTTATTCTGTGCAATAAATTGTTGTAATGATAATGGAAAATTTAATGATAGACTAAATTACCACAGATGACATATGGTACCGATTTCCCAAATTATTCTTATTTACTATCGAACTTACAGGGTCTATTGTCCATTAATTTGTGAGGCGTTCTGGCAAAATGAGACAGAACTGGGCAGAGGTCGAAATGAGGGTTTGTGAGTATTAGGACAGGACGATAAAATTCTCCAGACAATACTCTTTGCACTTCAATCGGACATTCCGTTGACAAGTAATGGCTGTTGAAAGTTCGCATTTATCGACGTCAAAAAGGAAAATACTGCGGAAAAAAACGCTTTTAAATTTTGACTTTTGTAGTTGTGAATATGAAAGATGCCAATTGTTTTCCTTTGAAAATACCTTTATTTCACAATGTTTACACTATTTCTTTAAAATAAATTACCGGTATGTGGAGTACACAACAATAAATCTAAAAATTAAAAACACCCTCACTTGGTTTTTTTTTTGGTTTTTTTTTTGCATTTTTATCCACTTCAGCCTGTGCCCAGTTCCGTCTCATTTTGTCAGAATGCCTCACATTTTCTTGAATATCACCGAATCCTATAAGAAAGTTTCCCAAAGTTTATAGAAAAAAACATTTTTCATTATTTTTGGTTAAAAATCATCCTTGTCCAAAACCAACCTGCAAGAATAAGCTATTACAACAATGAGAATGAACATTTTAGAAAGATTTGAACAGTTCAAGGAATTAGTTTCGATTTTTTTTATTTTAATAATTCGAGTGTAGATGTAACATGTAGGGCCTACATGTATCTCCACGAGTCCACATTTTTTAATTAGTAAAATGAACGGTAATTAATAATGTCTGCTTGTCAAGCACTTCTGGTCCTTTCCTTGGACGAAATTAAATTGGTGGTCACCCCAGTAACATTCAATGATGATGATGATTTCAGTTGTGAGAAGAAGGAAAGCTTAATTAGACTGAAGCATCTAAGTTTGTCCTGTTTCATTTTAATTAAATTTCAGTCCTTACTTAGTCCTTTCTTGTGATTGACTTCCAGTCAGTGCCCGTGTCTGACATTTGTCTTGAATTGTTTTCCTTCTGTTACGGATTTTAAACTGAATGCAAAGAGTTTCAAAATGTTGAGCTGAAATTCTGAAAGAGGTCCATATTGATCTGTACAAAATGATTTTTACTTCGGTGTACATGTATCTCAGTCGGTTTTTTTTTTAAAGTTAACTGTAACTTCGAAACCTGGGCCCAATTTTACAGCTCTTCTAACCACAGAATACTGCGCTTACGATCATCATTTTGTCTTAACCGCACTAGCAGAAAAATGATGTGCTAACCGTGTAGGCACAGAATCCTTAGTTACGGGATGTACGCATGCGTAGGAGCCAAAATTCCTCACTAACACCTGAAATACGCTTACTGTAAGCACAGAATTTTCTGCTAGAGTAAGCAGGGATTTTTCGCTAACTGTAACTGTAACTTAATTGGGCCCTGTTTTGCAACAACTTTTAAAAACAAACGGCCGTTATGTACCGGTACGTCTCTCGGCTGCAAAACCAAAACAACCGTTTGCAGTTATTTTGTGAAGCTTATGATATTTGTCTTTTCTGCATTGTAAACCCAGGTCAAAATTCTGTACGTGAGGAACCTCATGCTGCACACCACGGAAGAGACTATCCAGGCGGAGTTCAATAAGGTGAAGGAGGGCTGCGTTGAGCGTGTAAAGAAACTACGAGACTTTGCATTCGTCCATTTCTTGACGCGGGAGGACGCCTTCGTAGCACTCAAGGCCATGGACGGTGAGATTTTGGTGTCTGTTGATCCCTTGTACCGGTAGGGTGAAATGTTGCGATTGAAAGATGTCAGCAAATGAAACTATTTAGGTCAAGAAAAACAGAATTTGTTTCCCATTAGGCCCAGAAAAATGAAAAGTCTTCTTCCGATTACACAACATTCAAAAATAGGGTAGGTAGGTAGGGGTTTTTTTGGGGGGGGGGCAATTTTTTTGTGTACGATCATATGGAGGCGTCTGCGTGTAGTCAAGGGTAAAAGGTAGAAATTGATGTTTTGGGGGTTTTTTTTCTTTTTCATTTTGCCCATAAAAAAATTAGGGTAGGGGCTGTCAGAATAGGTACATGTACCAGTAGGTAGGGAAACCGGAAGCACAACTGGTTTTTTTTTTGGCCTTACCCCATCAAACCTACAAAATCATGCAGAACGTAATCATCTTTTTTCTTCTTTTTAATAAACAATACAATAATGATTATATGCTAACTGTTACTAAAGAAAGCATGCATGCCAAAAAAATAATCGACCATCATCCCACCCTAATTTTTTGCTCGGTATAAAAATGTTGGGAAAGAATGCCATTTCACTGGTTGTGTAAAGCCTATGGAGAGTGGAGTGCGTACCGGTATTTCTAACAAAATTGAAATATGTTTCTCAGTTTCAGATTCATGTGTTCTCAACATTTTCGCAATGACTGACCTTCATTAAGATCATATGAAAACAGTGGCGTCAGGATGCAATATTCTTTCCAAATTTTGAGCCACAAAAAAAAGAGAAGAATTTCATCGACCCTTTTTTATTTGGCCTCATTGGTCGTTTTGGTAAAGGACAAAATAAACATTACATTGCTTGTAAAGTTGAGCTGGACCAAACCGTCAGTACATAGTCGGGGACTCGATAAGTCGACGTCGGTCGATCACTCATTTGATCAGTAAGTTAGTCAGTGACTCGGTCAGTCAGAGAACTATCGCGTGGCCTTTTTGGGTTGGGCAAAAATGTGCTTATTGATCCTTATCCAGGCTCAAGTCAGGTAACTTGTAGCAAACTAAACGAAATCTTTGGGTGTCTTTTGGGTGTTTCCTAGATTTCCTTTGGACCTTTTTTTTTTCTTGGAGGTCCAGTGTCAGTTTCTCAATTAATTAAAGAGCATCAGTCTTTGCATCGTTTGTGCTATGGGTGGAATTTTAAGGTTAAGCTGAAAACTTCAGTTTACACATATGTTCTTCCTTTTAGGAGGAAGCCAACATTGTAACACAAGTTGTTTTGGCTTAATCAAATTAAAAATAAATAAAACCCAAGTTATCGAGTGTGTGGCCTAGTGGTTAGGATTCGTGACTCATGATCAGAGGGTCTGGGGTTCGAATCCAGCCGCTGGCCATATATTGTGGCCTTGGGCAAGGCACTTCACCCCCACTTGCCCCTCTCCACCCAGGAGTATAAATGGGTACCGGCATTAGCTGGGGAGTAATCCTGTGATGGACTGGCATCCCATTCAGGGGGAGTAGAAATAGTCTCAGTCGTTTCATGCCAAGGAAAACGGAGATTAACACCGGCCTGATGAGCCACATTGGCTCGGGACAGACTTTACTACTATCGAATTATTGAATGATCATTGTTGACCAACCCCTGTCTTTTCAGGAGCAACCATCGATGGCTCGGTGATTGAAGTGGTTCTCGCCAAGCCGGTGGACAAGAACGCGCTCATGCGCTTCCCCCGGGCCGGGGCCGGCAGGGGCTACATACAGCCCGGGGCCTACGGCTACGGCAGTGGGGCATATGACCAGCAGGTCGCGGTCCAGCAGTCAGCCCCATACTATCAGCCGTACAACAACACAGGCAGCGGCATGAATGGGTGAGTTTAACTGTAGTGGCTTTTTAACCACTTTGCGCCGGGATTAGTTTTGCCGAAATGTTCAATTTGTGCAAAAGGCAAAATTTTCCAGCCAAGTTCTGATGCACAGCCAAACGCCACAAATACAGATTCGCGAGAGTAATTTCTACAGTATTTGTACGATATTTCTTGCTTGAAACCTCATGTTTCAACACTCTGAGGTGTGCACTTGAGCGTATAAATTGCTCAGCAATAGGCCGTGCACAACGGCCAATTCAAGATGAATACACGGTCTGCCTCCACAAACTTCATGGACTTTGTGTGTGTGTGTGTGTGTAGAAAAGGCATGAGGGATTTTGATGTGTTGGGACGTAACCTGGAGGCGAGTAACGGCAATCATGACGTTTTAACCCGTCAGCCGTGCCTGTGTATAAAAACAGCCAGTGCATGTTATCACATCCTCCGACGCGAACTGGTTAAATGATAGTGTGTTACTGTATTTAATTTGTGAACAACTTGGATGTGAAAATATTACGTGACCTGTTTCTGATTTCATAACTTTTCTTCAGTTACATGTATGCATCACTTAACATTTTGAAACCATTTTCATAATTTTTCCTCGGAATAAGGCAGCGACTACATGTATGTATTTCCTGTCATTTTCCCCACCTCCATTAGGTTTGGCGCGGCGGGACGAGGAGCCATGGCACCCCGTGGAGCCTTCTCCCCTAGGGGACGAGGGCGCGGGGCAGCCGGCATGAGAGGCGCTGGAGGCCTACGTAGCTACGGCGGCCTCCAGTCCGGGGGCCGTGGTGGCTACCGGTACTACGACGGACGGAAGCCAGCTGAGGTTAGTCAATTGTTTTCAAAACTGAAGTCCCGTCTGGAGGTTAAAGCCAGCTTGGAAGACTTGATCCCATTAGTCTGTTTGTCACCCAAAACCGTCCTGCCTGTTACTTTCTGTATGCCCAAACCGCCCTGCCTGTTCCTCCCTGTGCTGCCCCCAAATGCCCTGCCTGTTACTCCCTGTACTGCCTTAATCCACCCAGCCTGTTACTCCCTGTACTGCCCCAAACCACCCTGCCTGTTACTCCCTGTACTGCCCCAAACCACCCTGCCTGTTACTCCCTGTACTGCCCCAAGCCACCCTGCCTGTTACTCCCTGTGCCACCCCAAACCACCCAGCCTGTTACTCCCTGTACTGCCCCAAACCACCCTGCCTGTTACTCCCTGTACTACCTTAATCCACCCTGCCTGTTACTCCCTGTACTGCCCCAAACCACCCGGCCTGTTACTCCCTGTACTGCCCCAAGCCACCCTGCCTGTTACTCCCTGTACTGCCCCAAACCACCCTGTCTGTTACTCCCTGTACTGCCCCAAACCACCCTGCCTGTTACTCCCTGTACTGCCCCAAACCACCCTGCCTGTTACTCCCTGTACTGCCCCAAACCACCCTGCCTGTTACTCCCTGTACTACCTTAATCCACCCTGCCTGTTACTCCCTGTACTGCCCCAAACCACCCTGCCTGTTACTCCCTGAGAGGTTAAAACCACTCTGCCTGTTACTCTCTTTACCACCCCAACCTCTTAACCACCCCTAACCCTAACCTAACTACCCTGAGTTTTACTCGCTGTACCCCCCAAACCATCCTGCCTTTTACTCTCTGTACTGCCCGAAACTGTCCTGCCTGCTCCCCCCCCCCCCGTACCACCAGAACAACCCTGCCTGTTCCGCCCTGTACCGCCCCAAACCACCGCCCCAAACCACCATGCATTCAGTTTGTATGAATTAATTGGGGACTAAATAAAATTTAATGCAATGTTGTACAAATAAATGCTAAAGGGTCAATGATCATTGTCTGTAATACTGTTCGACATTTTTAACTAATCCTTTCTGGTACATTTCAACTAGTCATTTTCTGAAGATATACATTTGTAATTGTGTCTTTCGTGGTTCTTTGACTCAATATTGTCCTTAACCTGTAGATTACCGATGAGTAGACATTAAAAAAATCCATTGTATTCTATCTTTGGCCATTATCTGATCTTGAAATTCAATTTTAGCCCACTAAGTACTGTTTGCGGAAAACATGTCTGATAAAAAAGTTTGATTATTAACCGGCGAATGAGATAAACTACATTTTGCATATTAACCCATTTTCTTTGATATGAAACTATCAAGAAACTCCTTTTTCTTAATCTATGTTTTGTGCAGTTTCTACCCATGCACGGTAATTATGGGGAAATTAAAAGCAAAATGAATTTTACTCAAAACATAAATATTCTGTACAAACCAGCCAGTATATGTTGCATCTTGGCTAACCTTGTTATGCATGGCGTGCCTTCAAGTAGATAAAGAGACTTACAACCAAAAACAATGTTCAGGCCTATGTTGTGCGTGGAACTTGAACCAGGGAACAAACGGTATAATGACCTAAGGCCCCCCCCCAAAAAAGTCTCCGGTTTCTTGTTTGCGCGCGCGTCGCCGTAGCCATGCGCGTCGGCAAAATGAAAAATTTTTTTTTCAATGAAAGATGATGTCTCAAAACCGCCAAACTCACTGGTTTGACTGGAATCCTGCTGCTGCACAATTTTAACTTGTTTTTAGATTGGGTTATGGTCGAGAATAAGCTTGATGTGGCCTCTCCGGACTCCCATATATTTGCACTAAGTTTAGTCGGGCACCATTTGCAGTCATCAGCCGACATTTAAAGCAAAAAAATCAGGTAAAAAAAAAAAGAAGCCGCGTCGCCGCACCACTTTTTGGGCAAGCTCCATACCAGAAACCAGAGACTTTTTTTTTTGGCCTAAAATTGAATTTTTTTTTTTGCTGGAATGAAAACTCTGCTTGATGCTTACACAGTGACTAATGATTTCTCTCTAACCAGCATGTTGATAATAATTTTTATGCATTTATTCTCTTTTTCTCTCTTCCTCCCCCGAAAACACTCCTAAATTCCTTGCATACCTTTCACCATGATTTGGACATTTCCCAACAATCACTTTTTTTTATTTTGCGGCACGACATATTTCCCACATTTGCACCGCCAAACCTTGCACATATTTCTGATTCAAATTTCTCATTCTTAAATCCCTCCGCCATGCCTGTCAAAACCCCTTGCCCGTCTTTCTGTACGGTAACGTCACACCGGACTTTCCTATATCACAACCCGCACAATTTCCCAAATCGCCTGTTTTGTCATAAATTCATCCATGTTGCCCGAATCTTTCCTTTTTTTTCCAAATTCATACATTTTTCCTACTGTGCTTTATATTTTGACATAATCCCCAACCTGTATGCCTATTTTCCTGTCTGCATGATCTTCCATCTGTACATTCTTGTTTAATCCTTTTCATCCATCCATCATATTTATGTATATATTAATGATAAATTTATCCATTATTATCATCCACGTCATCCTTAATGTAACTGTACTGAATCCATCCATTCACTCACCCACGCACCACCTATCTTTCCCTACCCTTCCCTACCTTTCTTCATCCTCCCACGTGGATGTTTCTTGTCTGAAATGCCTCTCGTTCATCTGTACCTCCACAACCCATTTCCGCAAAATCCATCCGTTTGAATCCTGCATCCCATCACTCCACCTGTGCACGTGCCTGTACTGCACCCCGCCCTCTGACTCACCTACTTACAACCTATCCATTCTTCCAAACCAATCTCTTTATCAACCTCCATCCCTCATCCACGCCCAATTGCCAACAACCTCGCCTACCACCGCATCCACCCTCTCACTCTCCATCCCACATTGCTCATGATCCTCCTCCCACTAACAGTCAAGGCTTTACGATATAATCCCCGGAATGGAACTGACACCCACCAACCCAGTAACTCTCAAGCCGCAGAAGAGTTTTGTCCAGGTATACCCAGAAAATCAGTGTTTGTTTTTCCCAGGCTACAATCGACAACACCAGAGTTTTTTACCACTGCAAGGTTTTTAAACAAAAACAGTCTAGGGATGCCAGATGAGGAGAATGATCGAGGTAGCTTGTTTTGTAAACCCTAGAAAAATTTATTTCAACCCTAACTCTCAAAGCATGATTTACTACGAACCATACCCATCCTGGCAAATTCCAACACCAGATGGGAAAGTGCATAATTCTGACTTTGATTCTGGAGGTGTGCTGACCCAGTGTAAAAGACTGTCAGTTTAGGGGTACTGTACCCATCCTGAAAGATTCCAACAAATATGCCGTTGGGGTTTGATGGGTTGAGCTCTGTTTAGTGTTAGGGTAATGAGAGTCGAACATAGTTTTTGAAACTGGTTAAGGTTGCTCTTCCTGCTTTATGTTTGAGTTTCACACCGGAAAAAAAAATAGATGCAACCAAAATGAAAGCTTTTTATACAGGGTCGAAAATGTCAAATTTTTTATGTTCAAATAAAACATACAAATAAATATATTTTGTTAGAAGACAACATATATTTAATGGTGAAAGAGATTTAGGGCAAAAGTAAGGTTTTATCCCTTCCAGTACATGGCATGTATTCCTATAACTACCTTGCTTTTTAGTGCAACCGCAGCTCAGACTAAACGTAATGTGGAAAATAAGGCATAGAATATTTTAATCTCTTACTTATCAAACCCCACTGCAGATGTAAAACATTTTAGATTAATGCCACAAGGGTTCAATTATTAACCAGTGTCAGTTGATAAACGAAGTACACACATCGATTTTCATGATGTCTCAGTCGATGTGCGTGTTATTATTAAGTAATAATCTGAGGAAAAAACACTGGCTGTAGGCACTGGTTTTTAATTTTTTTATACCTTTACCAAGATGAATTAAACAATAATATTCCGATTAGTTGAACTTCCAATCAACGAACTTGAATGAATAATTAGCAGTTACTAGATTCACAATATTGTTTTATTTCAACCAAGTTCTTGGGACTGATGTTTGGATGAGTTCATTGGAATCTTAGCTCTAAATTTTTAGACCAATGTACATGTACAAGTATCTCGGTCTTTCGTACAAAACGTCAAGTAAGTGTGGGAATTAGTGGGTTTTCAATTTTTTGTTTTAGTTTTTTACTCCAAAAAATTGTTGTATGGCTTGCATGGCATAATAACGCATGTGCATGAGCAGGAACTTCCATTTTAGCTGCGGCAAACTACTTTCAAACCCTTCAAACATTCTTGATGATAAAATTCTAATCCTCTGTCTAATATAGTACCACACATTGTAGCAATCTACTTGTATTCCTAACTGCTTTAACCTATTGTAGTTTCCTGAGGTCAGTTTTGGAATCCATTTAATAATGCGCTGATGAATTTCCAAACTTTTGCTAATTTGTTGTTGCCATTTCCGTCGTCCTCCGTAGATATTGGAGGAAGAATGCGCCAAGCACAACTGGGGCATACCCACCTACACTCTGCTGTCCAGCCGGGGGCCGCAAAATGACGTTCAGCTGTTTGTCTATAAGGTACTGTGATAACAAATATACATAAGGCCAAAAAAAAAGTCTCCGGTTTCTGGTATGCGCGCGCGTCGCCGTAGCCATGCGCGTCGGCAAAATGAAAACGTTTTTTTTTCAATGAAAGATGATGTCTCAAAACCGCCAAACTCACTGGTTTGACTGGAATCCTGCTGCTGCACAATTTTAACGTGTTTTAGATGGGGTTATGATCGAGAATAAGCTTTATGTGGCCTCTCTGGTCTCCCATAATATTTGCACTAAGTTTAGTCGGGCACCATTTGCAGTCATCAGCCGACATTTGAAGCAAAAAAAAACAGGTAAAAAAAAAAAAAATAGCTGCTTCGCCGCACCACTTTTTGGGCAAGCTCCATACCAGAAACTGGAGACTTTTTTTTTTGGCCTAAACAAATTATACTTAAAGACGCACATGCGATGTGCCTCATATGCTCTTGAAAAAAAATTGTATATTTTTGTCCTAACAAGTTTTTAATTTAAATGTTATGTTTCAATGGGAAAACTACTTAAACCCTGCACCAGCAAGAGTCCGGTAGTCACCTGATGACAAAAGAGATCAAGAGATAATATTCACTTGGTGTTACAACAAACCTCCCATACTTTGAATTCAGTTTTTCTCTGATTTGGGTCATCAGCAGCCCTCTGAACAAGGAATTTCCTTTTGTGCACGAATTAAACCGCCCTGTGAAAGTCGAATAATGTCTGGCAGCTAATAAGTCAATTTTTTTTTCTTTGAGAAACAATTCCGTAATGCCAGGTTCACACATTCCCCAATTCGTTGTAAATACAACCAGAACAAACCAAGAATTGAAATACCGGTAGGTTTCCGAATCACCCAAACAATTATGAACATGATCATCAAAATTTGTCAGAGCGCTTCCCGATCTTTCACGATCTTTTACCGAACTAAACAGAATCATCCCGAGGCAGCCAAGAACCATCCCCCGATTTACTCAAGAATTGCTATTCGCGGCGATTCGGCTTAAAAATCGGGAATGTGTGAACCTAGCATTTTAAAGAGGTTGTGGAATGCTCGAAGACATTTCCGTCATTTTTTGGGTATATGTAGCCTAAGGTGTGATGAAATAAAAACGACTATTGTTTCTGTCATGAAATGAGTACAAATGGTACTTTTGAGAGCTATTTTTCAGGTCCTGTTTTGACCCGAACGTGCAATTTGTGTAAAAGTCGTCGTTGCGGGCAGCAAACAAAACACAGTAAATCGTGACGTAACAAACATGACTCGTTTATGCTACTCTGCATCGGGAGTCCTGTTTATTACGTCACGATTTACTGTGTTTTGTTTGCTGCCCGCAACGACGACTTTTACACAAATTGCACGTTCGGGTCGAAACAGGCATGACAGGACTTGAAAAACAGCTCTCAAAAGTACCTTTTGTACTCATTTTATGACAGAAGCAATAGTCGTTTTTATTTCATCACACCTTGGGCTACATGTACCCGAAAAATGACGGAAATGTCTTCGAGCATTCCACAACCTCTTTAAACATCGGTTGAATTTTTCACACAAAAATTTTCATTCAAAAATGAAATGACTTTCGTTGGGGGCGTTGCAGGTTCAGATCCCAGCTCTTGCCCAGAGCTACCCGGCCGGCATCCAGCCCACCAAGCTCTGCACCAGCGTGGAAGACGCCAAGTCCCTGGCCGCCGAGCACGTCCTGACCACCATGGGTCTGCCCTTAGATGGTAAGCGGTATAACTAGCAGATCTGCGGCATTTCTTCTGCTAAGCTTGCAGGTACTAAACCCCCAAAAAATCTTTCCCAACGGGAACTTGTTTTTGAAGTAGCACTAGTAAGTCACTCCATCCTTCAGTCTGGCATATCCTTTTTCCTGATCACCTTCAAATTCTCATTCAGGATCATGTTTGAGGGTGATATCACAAGCATTCCTCTCTTTATTTTTGTCCCCAAAATTGTTTCTTTTCTTGCACTTCTGTGTGTTTTTTAAGTCATGATTCCCCCCCTTTTTTTTAGACCTTTTGTTTTCTTGTTCTTATTGTTCAAGTTTCCTTGGCAGTGAAATCCTGAATAAATTCTTAGAGATTGTTCGTGTTCATTGAAAAAAAAACATAAAAAAACATTCTGCAAAGTTTTTACAATAGAAAAATATTTTGAGAAGTTCTTGTAAGAAGTCAGATTGATTCCTCGTTTGCTGTTGATTGAACATTTCTTGAAAAGTTAGAGGAGATTCCTTTGAAGAACATCCTACATGTAAGTCTGGAATAGCCAAAATCATACAAAATTCTTGAAAAAGTTGTTGAAATTTCTCAGAGATTGTTCATATTTTCATTTTCAAATTAAAAAAAACCCTACTGGGTTCTGTGAGGTCTCACTCAACGTCAGAAAAGTGTGTTAAAAAGTGCTTTCAAAAAGTCACAATGATCAAGCAGTGGCCGTGGACTTAACATTTCTTGAAAAGTTGTGGAGATTCCTTTGAAGAACATCATAAGTCTTGAATAGTCAAAATCGTACAAAATTCTTGAAGAAATTTCTTGAAATGCTACAAAAAGGGAAAAGGTTTAGACATGAACATTCAAAATGTCCTTCAGGCACAATTACTGGAAGTTGAGATGCATAAACAAGAGGAAATTGTCTTTTTGAAATGGAGATTTCTTTACTCATTTAAAGGAAAAGCTGCCACATTTCTTTTTCTAGCTTGAGTTTCCCTCCTTTTTCTTTCTTCCCCACTCCTCATATCATCATCTCATGGTTTGAGCTTCTTTGTTGGAGCATAGTGCCTCAGTAGTTGGTACCTAGTTACTTCACCAACTCATCTCAGATTTTATTTTCCAAATTAGAATTAAAAGTACAGAATGCAGTGCAGAAGAAATGGTTGCAAATCATTTTAGTCCGTAGTTTTTGTGTTTTATTTTTTTGTTTGGTTTCACATTAAAAGTTGAGCTTAACTTCACTCTGTTAAACCCACAACCTTTGCTACTTGGCCGATATTATTTTATCATTTTTTTCTGCTGGCAGGCACAAACAATGGTCTGTTTCTGGTGGGAACATTTCAAAAATCTCTTATCAGAAACCTGTCCTGGAAGAAGAAAAAAATGATTAAGAACCTGATGGTTATCTGAGGTCGGAGTTTGAATTTTGGCCTTGCGGGGGTTTAATGATTAAACAGAGTAAGATTAGGCTTCAATTTGCATTGGTTATCATGTTGGTAGTACATAAAAGCCTAGCTGCCTTGTGTGGTGGTGTTTTTTTTTCTTAAATCATATATTAGTTTGTTTTTGTCATGATCGGGAGTTGTGTATTTAAGTATTTTTTTTGTTATCTAGTGTTCATCATGGTTTCATAATGCCTGGCTTGTTCGAGCTGCGTCATGATTGCGCAAGACCACCCACTATTAAAATATGTTATTCTCCTGAAAAGTTCAATTGGATAAATACAATTCAACCTCAGGAATCACACATATTGTGACAGTAAAAGTTTGCTTATGACGACACACTGATTTTTTTTATTTTGGATTAAATTTGCAAATGTACTCCAAATTTGCATTTTTTTAGTTAGTTTACATGTGTAAGTCTTTGATCCCATTGTGCTAACATGCTGAAAAGTCAGTTTTTGTGTGTGCTGACACAATACGCAAATTTTCAATATCCGAGAGCCATATATTTAAAAGTTCACTCATTCTCCCCGACATCGGAAGCATAAATTTCCATGTTTGTCTGATCATTTCATTCAACAATCTTCATCGCTAAATCATTTTGGCAGTGTCCATGCTGACATGCATTCATAAATGCCCAGCTACGTGGTCAAAAGTAGGGTGTTCGAAAAAAGGAGTTTTGTTTAATCTTGGTGGAAAAAAAGAAGGGACGTACATGTAGGTCCCAGCTTTCAGGCCAAATTTTAGGGGGTGGGTTGGGTATTGGGTTCACAACATAAGCGACAGTAACTTTTTTGGTCAGCAGCCAGTCAACATACATCAAATCTTAAGCAAATTTTGATTGAGATCTTTTTGTCTTTTTCTAACGGTCCACAGTTACGAGGTAGTGATTTTTTAAAGTAGTGTCACAAAACCTCTCCTCACCCCCAAAACATAACGAACCTTACTGTTCTGTTTTTGCAAATTTTCACTTCAATTGATATCAAACAAATTTTTATCAAAAACACTGAAACAAAATTGACTTCAATTTAGAATAAAAAAACACACCTCAATGTTTCAACCATGATTCACAGACATGCATGTAATTACGTCACCAATTGTCTGCTGTGGCTACTGAGCATCACGTATTTCAAGTCTTTTGGTTTGGTTTTTAGGGATTGGGGAAAAAAATCAAGATGTAACTTTCATTTGTGTCACATAAAAAGGGGAACTCCTGTATTGAGAGACAGAATTCAAAACAGTCGAACACCCAACTTTGATTTCTGCATGGCAATTTTTTGTACCCCTTTTTTGCTTTGCATCCAGGCACGGACAGCGTTCCCTCGACCACCATTGTCACCTCATCCTCCCCCACCGGCTCAGGCGACTACATCGCCCCCCATCACCCCCAGGGGGGACCCCCGCCTCCTACCCATCCCAACCCCCATGGGATGTCAAACGGTGTCGCCATAACGACTGCTTACCAGCAGACGTACCATGTCGGTGTCCCTATCACTTCATCACCTCCCGTCTTAATGACACCAGGTATGGCAGACAAACTCAACTATAATCCCCCCCGTTCATTTGTGTGTGTTTAACTCACAAGGTCCTTGAATCGAGGTTTTGTTTGTGGGGTGCATTTGAGGATTCACTCATGAGATTCATGTGAGGTTCATATGTTACCATGTGAGGCTCACAAGATCCTTGAATTGAGGTTTTGTTGGTGAGGTGCATTTGAGGATTCACTCATGACAGTCATGTGAGGTTCTGTGAGGTTCATATGTTACCATGCGAGGCTCACAAGGTCCTTGAATTGAGGTTTTGTTGGTGAGGTGCATTTGAGGATTCACTCATGAGATTCATTTGAGGTTCTGTGAGGTTCATATGTTACCATGTGAGGCTCACAAGGTCCTTGAATTGAGGTTTTGTTGGTGAGGTGCATTTGAGGATTCACTCATGAGATTCATTTGAGGTTCTGTGAGGTTCATATGTCACCACGTGAGGCTCACAAGGTCCTTGAATTGAGGTTTTTTTCTGTGAGGTGCATTTGAGGATTCACTCATGAGATTCATGTGAGGTTCTGTGAGGTTCATATGTTACCATGTGAGGCTCACAAGGTCCTTGAATTGAGGTTTTGTTGGTGAGGTGCATTTGAGGATTCACTCATGAGATTCATGTGAAGTTCTGTGAGGTTCATATGTTACCATGTGAGGCTCACATGATTTCATACTTGGGTGAGGTTATAAAGTCTCACATGGTTCACAAGGGCCTTGGCTGTTTAAATTAATATCATGTGATGCACATTTGAGGATGATGTCCATGTGATACCATGTGAGGTTCACATGATTGCAAGCTCTAGAGACTAATGCATTTAGGCAAACAATGAGGCCCATATTCAGTTCATATGAGGTCCTCGTGAGGCTGATGTGCCCAAGCGAGCTTCTTGCAAGGGATCTGTCGAGATCCATATTTTGTGAAGTTCACATGAGGTTTCTGTGATGCATCTCACGAGGTTCTCACGAGGTTCATGTGACATTTGAGGAACATTTCCAATCGTGTCCATGCAATTTTTAAACCACTATTAAAATTCATAATTGCATTTTGTTAATAATTCAGTGCACATTCCTCATGCCTATTGCTAACTCCATGAAAGTTTGTTGCATTCATACATTAAACATGAAATTCCATTTTTTTTGGGGGGGGTTATTAAGTTTTGTTTTGGCCCATGCTATGTCCGTTTTTGTTACAAAGTAGCACACAAAATTGAAGACAACAATTTTGAGCAAAAGTTCTAAATAGTCTGCTTACATTTGTAATCTTAACACCATCTCATACTTAAAATGATGCTACATGTTTTTGTTTTGTTCATGCGTTCATTATACTTGGTTCACACATTGCTGTGAAATTCATACCATTTCATTATCAATTTGTTTATTTAGTGTCTTTACATTCTGGTTGAAGATTTAATTGAAGAACTTTTCCATGATTATTTAATGACTCGTTAATGTACGAGTAGTTAATGAAATCACTTGATTGCGTTTCACATGATCGATATCCGTTTGTGACTCTCATTAATATTCATTTATTGATCATGTTGATTTTGTAATACTGCGGAGTTTGTTTTTGTTTTGAGTTTTGAATAATTTCTGAAATGAATTTTTCATGCCACATTGAATTTTCATCTATTGATCGTTTGCCTTGATCCTAATTTGCAGTATTCCAATATTTGATAATGAAGTTATGATAAATTGATATCAAACTTTTACGACTCTGATAGTCGTGATTCCACCTGTTTGCTACCGTTTCTTAGATTTTTGGTATTATTGTCTTCATTTTGCTCTTTTCCCACTTCACCAATTCTTTCCCTCGGACAGGCGGCGACGCTCCCGACAGCCCACAGTTCAGCTACGGTGGTTACCACGGCCACGGGTACGCCCCTACCTCCCCCAACGATGTCTACCAGCAAGCACAATATTGATCAATCGGAAAATCAATACCCACGGATCAATTGGCAATTGATAACCAATGTATCGATCAATACCTAATAATAACCAATTGAGTAATTGACGCATATAATAATCAATACGGATCATTCCACAGACAACTAGTCAATTCAGGCGAATCGCAAAAAAGCAGTGCGCCACCAAGAGTTTGCCATGGAGAGTCCATTTGTCAAGTTTACGGTCGACAAAGCATGACCCATTTGAACGAGTATCAGTAGACAACTTGAGCTAATTTGTTATAGATTGGGGCATAGCATTCTGCCGCCTTACAAAAAAAAAACATATGTATAAAAAGAAAAGAAAAGGGCAAACAGATACTCGAATCATACGCTTGCGAAACAACTGACCAGAAAAACTAACAATTTCAATTAATGTCCCGCTCTGCAAATTTGTCGATTATTTCCCACAATGCACTGGGAAAAATGAACTCTCCCTGGCAAACTCTTGGTGGCGCACTGCATTGCGAAACGCCCGAATTCTATACGTGTAAATTAAACTGATCGAATCACTGATCAGTCGAGTTATCAGAAACAGTCTGCAAAATCAGATATAATAATGATCAATAATGATATTGATTAAACAAAATCAGTACCGTTATCAATAATGGAATCTAGTTGATCAGTTCAGTTCAAAATCAATCAAATCGATCAGTTCAAAATCAATGAAATTTTAACAACACCTTTCCTTATGAGATGCGTAAAAATGACAGCTAGAACTATTAAGTCATGTAAAAAAAAAAAAATTAAAAGACAATCATTTTAGTTTCATGCCTTTCTATTTTCCTCATTAGATCATTCATTGTTAGAGTATTCAACTTTTACTTAAATCCGAGCAATGGGACTTGCACGTTATACAGCTAGAGCATTAACCAAAGAGTAGTTTTGTTTAAACTTAGGGTTTTTGATAACGATGACCGTTTATCAATATTAGGTTTTGTCCTTAACCGACATATCAATGTGTATACTCAGCGTGTTACCTCCCGAGTGAAAGTTGGAAAAAATTCTCTTTTGTGGGACTCGAACCCACGACCGCCTGCTTTCTAGTGCAGACGTCTTACCACTCGACCACCGAGCTTGTGGGATCGATTGGCCGGTTCGAATCTGATGTACATGTGGCAGCAGGTACCGCAATTAAACTTTTCATAAGATGGAATTTTGCATCGGGGTGATGTAAATCAATACAAAAATGTATTAGGTTTATTCCATCTTATGAATAGTTAAATTGCGGTTCTTGCTACTATACATGCACATCAGATTCGAACCAGCCAACCGATCCCGTTAGCTCGGTGGTCGAGTGGTAAGACATCTGCACTAGAAAGCAGGAGGTCGTGGGTTCGAGTCCCATCCCAGTGATTTTTTCCAACTTTTACTCGGGAGGTAACACACTAAGTATACAGTGTTTATATGTCCGTGAAGGGCGAAACCTAATATTGTTTTACATCACCGGCCGACGCAAAATTCCATCTTACGAATAGTATAACCATTTATTAAACGATTGGCTGTTCAACCCTCCTGGTTTATTTGTAGTTATAGTTGAGATTTTCATTCCTGTATATTTTGGCTGTTTACTTGTTCTACTATTACTCGCGGAGGTCATCCATCTTTACTAGTTACATATAGTGCTTAACTTGGATTAGGCTAGTTAGTAGGATTATGTTATCTAGTTATTATGTTCAATTGCATTGGGGTTTTTTTCTTAACTAATAACTAGGATTATGTTATCTAGTTATGTTATAATTGGACTGTTTGGTTGTTTTTCTGATGAGTTGCGGATTATGCTGAAGTTGAATTTTCTGTTAACCAGGTTTTTGTTGGTACGGTGCCGTTTAGTTAAATAGTTATCTTGGATTATGTTAACTAGTTAGTAAACTTTATCTGGATTTGATTTGGTTTGGGGTTTGACTTGAGAGTTTTGCCAATGACCTCACGGAAGTTCTGAAAATTGGTCAAACGTTGATGAGTTTTGTGGGTTTTTTTGAAATTTCTTGAAAAGAAATTCCACTGTTGATTTTCGGTCATGACTTTTTTTAAGATTTGAAACTTGCGGTGTTGATGAGATATTTTTTCCTTAACTTCTTAAAACAGTTGTTTATTAATTCCATGCTTAAAATTCAGTAGTTAACAGCTAGAATTCCATACTCATGAATTTTTAATTTGAGTTAAAGTACTAAGCGCATGCCTATTTTAATTATCATTGTTTTGTTTTTCGTTTCTACTATGCCATTGAGTAGTAGAGCGTCCTCATCAATTTTCATTCATAAGGTTTAATTGGCAGGTGTTTTCAAATAAGGCGTGACAAGGCCAAACATTTGTAGTTGTAAAGTTAGTGGAACAATCTTCCTGCGTTGTTAATGCTGTTAGTTTAGGGACTGCAATTAGAAAAGGTTTGTAGCTAGTAATTTTAACCAAGTTCCAGAGTAACATTTCATTTTTACATATGGAAGTGTTTTAGGAAGTGTTTTAGGATTGCATTTTAATGCACATTTTTAACCATATGAAAGCCTACACAATCACTTAATATGATGGATTCATGATTGGTATATAGGGAGCCATTATGAAAAGAAGTCGGACGGACGAGAGAAATTTTGCATTGGAAGGAATTTGGCATGGAAACAATGGGAAAATGACTTTTATTCCCCTTTTTGACAAAGGGTATTATTGATGAACTAAGCATTCTTGATCACACAACCACTGGGCTGCAAAAATACAGCTTTTAAAAATTTGTAAAAATTTGTCAGAATTCAAATACTCAAAAGTCCGAAACAAATCTGAAACTTTGGCAAGAAAAACATGAGTTTAACTGGAAAGGAGAGGGGTCAGTGGGCAGAATCGGCCCTGAATGTGAATTTGATGAAAAATATCAAGAATTGTTAACAACATTGTGAAAATGTGAAGGTTTGGGTTGGAAAGGGCATAACAAGTGTGGATATCTGACATGTTTGGCCAAAAAAATTGATTTTTTGGTTGGTACTTTCGCCAGTGGATTATGACCAAACCCAATTGAGAATCTTAAGGCAAGATTTTATAACGTGCAGTTGAGTTGTTGACCAAATACATGGGAGAACAAATTGTTCAACTACACGAGGAAAATTCCTGCTGCTTGTCAAATCCAAGACGTAATCAAGTGCCGAATTTCTGCCCAACCTTCACTGTTTACTATTTGTGGGGTTTTCAGTTGATTATCTGACAGAAATTCCGAAATTTCAAAATTCCAGACTTAAAAAGACATCACAAGGGACCAGCAGATCCACTTTTTTCCCCCCAGCATCACCCACTGTCAAAGAAGTGGTTATATTGATCGTCAATCACCATTTTCTTAATTTGTAACAGCTCTACGATAGTTGGGATGTCTTTAAAATACAGATTCTTAGCACGGTAAACATCAATTCCACTGATTGTTTTGGTTAGTAAAACGTCAAAGTTCCAAAACTAAAGATATTGTGAAAGGCAAGTTACACATAACTTGCAATTTTTTTCTGTTTGAATGAGAAAGTACAAAACATTTGTAAACAAAACAACTCGACATTTGTACGTGGAAATTGAACAATTTTGCAAAAATACTGCAGAAAAATGGATTTGCTGGTCTTGATTTGCCCATACTCTTGTCATACACAAGTGTGCTAACGTGTTGAGATATATATGCAAAGTGTTTATACTTAAAAAAGTTTTTGCACAAAGTTCTCGATGAATTTCTTTTTTCCATAATCTGTAAAAAAAAAAAAACCTTTTCAACTTCATACTCTTTGTGGATTTCTACAGGAAAACTTAGGGGCTGGTTTGCAAAAGAAAGTGAATTGCAGTTCGTAAATGTTGGCAGTAGAAAGCCCTACACATATGTGCCATTACCTCTAAATGCGTAAGTTTGCTGTTGCCTTTTTTTATGCAATCGTCCAGCCTCGAAGAATTTTGAAGATTTGCTGAATACTCAAACTGTATGTCCAACTCCAAAAAAATACAGGTTTCTTTTATTGGTAAAAGTTCACAAATTCAAACATGAACAATCAAAAATGTCATTGTTTTTACACCTTCTTTTTGTGTGATCTTGAAGAAATGTCTTTTACCTTTGTACAAAGATAAAAAAAATCTCGTCTTTTTAACGAAAAAAAGTTACAGTACTGTTGTTGCCAAACGATAATGTGTATTGACTAGCCACGAAACTGCCACAAAGAAAAAAGAAAGAGTGTTTTTGTTGTAGAAAAAAAAAGATATATGCAGAGTTTGCTATATATTATTCATATTTTTGTTATTGTTTTTTTTTTCTTATTAGAAGAGGCTTTTGGTTATAGGTTTATCCAGTGAGAATTGTTTGTGTCGAGGTGGTACATGTAGTTGTTAGCCTAGATTGTGGATTCCGTGCATATAACAAAAACAGTTTTGCCCTGAACATGCAAAATTGTGAAGCTTACCCTAAATCCATAAACTGTGCTTTGCATGGTTGTGTGGTTAAGAACAAATTCGTCCAGTGTTATGGAGCGCCTAAACTGAAAACAGTGCTTGGCAACTTTTTTGGTGAAGTGAAATTGGTGTAAAATCACATGGCATTCTCCATGCTAGTTTCTGGTATTCTCCATGCTAGTTACTGACGTTTTCAATGCTAGTTACAGGCATTTTCCATGCTAGTTAATGGCATTTTCCTTGCTAGTTACATTTTCTGTGCTGTTTACTGGCACTTTATATGCTATAGTTACAGACGTTGTTTCAGTGCTAGTTACTGACATTTTCTATGCTAGTTACTGGCATTTTTCCATGCTAGTTACTGGCATTCTCCATGCTAGTTACTGGCGAATTCCATGCTAGTTACTGGGTTTTACTAAGCCATTGTGTGTGTGCTAAAAGCAGCTCCATTGAGTTAAGATATCTTGCTTAAAAAATGACCCCCCAAAAAGACAGTTTAAGCACAAGTATTTCTTTGTTTGGGGAAAATGTTAAAGAAAAATGCTTGACAAAAAAAGAAGAAGAAGAAATGAATTGTTCATCTTTCAAGTTATTGAATATTCATCAGTAAAACAAACGGCCAACACCTAGTTGGCCTATGAAATCAGTTCAAATGTATACACACCATGAACTGTTACCTCTGTACATTGTATCATAAAATTGACTTTTCCTGACCCATCATGCAGCGCCACGTCTCATTTGCATATTGAAATATGCATGTTGAAAAAGTATTTTTCCTATTTGCATAAAATATTCATAGAGTGTTGTTGGAAAGGCTGTGTGTTTGCTGG